ATGCATGGGAAAGGAGAAACAGCCCAAGAGGCTGCAGATTTTATGGACCATGTTGGTAGAAGTTGAGTACTTTGTCTGTCAAGAACATGGAGTGGGCTCCCTCAGACTCCTGACACCTGCCTCTCTGGTTCTCATGCAGTCTAGCTGTGTAACTTGCCTTTTTTCCTCTCTCCAAATTTTGTCTACTGTTTATAATGAAATGTCACCATCCCACTGCTCAGCAGCAGCCTGTATTTCTTGCCCAACTCCACGGGTGAGACTGTGTGACAACCCAAACTGCTCAGCCAAGAAGAGATGACTGCATGCATGATGCTCAGCATGGTTTCTAGCCCGATAGGTAGCTTCCTGACAAAGACAAAAATCCTCTTTGCCAAGTTCACAAGGATGGAAAAAAAGGTCAGATGACTCCTTGGGCTTTGGTGCTTCTGTCATTGCAGTTCTGTATTGGCATGTTCTGCAAGATTCTCCTGTGTGACCTACTCTAGGTGATCCTGCTCTGGCAGGGAGGTTGACTAGATGATACTTCAAGGTCCCTTCCAACCCCTGACATTCTGTGATTCTGTGATACGTTCAGTAGTATCTGCCTGTCTGAAGAGATATACATCTTCTAATAATGTACTTTATGAGTGCCTGTCTTTAGGTGGTCAGATCTCTTTTCTGGCTGCAAACTGGAGAAAACTGCTCTTCAGCTGTTCTTTTTTCTTGGTATTTGCCTCAGACTTGTCTACTACTGAAAAAAATCTACCATCCTATGGTTCACTGAGCTTCAGAAGTAATATCTCTTTCTGCGATGTTTTCACATATTCAAATATTTGTGGATTTCTAATATTTCCTGACACTTTTAAACATTCTTCATCCTAGATAAAAAATTTAACTTTTACTTTTACTTCCAATTGCCCCCTGGTAACTAGTTACGTTGTTATATAACGTTCCCTAGATGAGGAACCCCATCTTCTCTTCCCCAGCTCCCTCGCCCTGCTACAGTTCATCTTTCCTCCCCAGACCAGCTTTCCTGCAAAGTTACTACCCTGAACTCATCGCTCGACGCATACACACAGCTCACCAGGCTGAGATGCCAAATCTGTGCTATCCATGTCCTCTGTCCTTCTGCCTTTCACCTCTTCAGGTAAACAGTGTTATTTTTGGAGCTGGAGACTGGGCGGGTGTAAAAGGAGCATACATCCCATGGGGCTGTGGAGAGCCTGTGCTGTGCTCTGGGCCCAGGGTGCTGGGGAGGCTGTTGTGGCATTTACAAGCCCAGGAGCTTCTCCAAGTTACAATCTTTTCCTCTTTGGTTTGGGGCAGGGAGAAACAGAAGGTGGCTGAAAGCTACGTTTGTGTCTTACTGTCGTGGTTGTGAGTTCCTTATTCAGACAATTAATTACTGTCGTTGTGACAGGGGAAAAAGTGCTTCACTTGAATTAGGAAATGCTAAGTAAAACCCTAGTAAAATACGAGGTAATTTTGTACCTTTCATGTAGCTGAAAGGTAAGACAGTCATGTTACTGCCTCTTGCCTTTGACCTCATCAACAGCGCGTCATAAATAACTGCCCTACCATCACTGAGATATCACTTCTCCTTAGTTATCTAAAGTACACTCATTTCCTGAAATTAAAAGAGGGTGTGAGAAATACCTTACAGAATTTACCTCGTATATGTACAGATACGCTGAAACCACTCCTGTCTTCACTACTTCCCAAAATCTCATGTAGCTTAATGTAGCACTGAGCATCCTCTCCTCTGCTCTGGCAGAATTCCACTAACCGAAACAACTCAGTGGCATTTTGACTGAGAGGGAAAGGCAGAATTAAAAATTAATATGGAGAAAAATAGTTTTTATATATATTTTTTTAGTATTTTGGTTTGGACAAAATATATGAGCACTTCTAAAGATAAATTGGTGAAAATGTCATTTGTGTGATAGCAAAAAAGAGAAAATCCTCTGAAGTTCACAATTCTCAAATTTTAGTGGTATTTTCCTGCAAGCTGTTGCTGTTTCAGGGGAGACGGTGGACAGAAACAGCCCCCTGAGAAAAAAAGGTGACATGACTGAGAGAGCTAAGCAGAACTGGCAGCTTGTTTGAAAAACACTACATGGAGTAACATTGCCATCATTGTAGTAGGGAATAGCAAGACAGCCAAACCTGTGCAAGCCATGCACTTTCAGAAGCTAGCTTTCAGGTGATTTTAGAATCCTTGTCTGAGAGAAATGTGCAAATAAAGAACAGTCTCACCCAAAATTTAAAATACATTGTAGCATCTTACCTGTAAAGATGATTAAAACCATCTTTCTGGACAACTGCTTCATTAAAAACATTTTTTAAGTAGTCACTAGGAAACCATTTATCACCTTCCACCCAGCTGTGTATTGAAGCCTTGGAATTTCTGATAAAGGTAAACTGCAAAATACTGAGAAAGTAAAATTCCAGAAGGGACTAAAGCTGTAAAGCAACAGTATGTGCAAAGTGAGGCACGGACGCTGCTCTTATCAAAGCACCCTCTCGTGGTGATGCTGACTTAGGGGAGAGCAATTAATGTGTTGATCAAGACAGTGAGCTTTCCACAGAGGAGTATAAGGCTAAAAAGACCACATGCCTTTGATGCTGTCAGTGTTCAGAGTGAATCCTATCTTCCATCACTACCTGGGTAACTGCAAGATCAGAAGATGGACAAACAGAACAGAAAGAAGGCGAAAAACACAACCGGAGTCAGACTGTTTTATTAAGCAAGAAATAATGATTACTGATCATCTGATCCTGGGATAATTAAGTCTTGGCCACAAAAACAGATCCTTTAAACAAACAAACCATATGTATTAAATGACTTCTTAAGTTAGATGCTAATACTTGTTTACCCATGACTGATCAAGATAACTCCTCTTGAGCATCTGCTACAGTTTGTGAGTGGACTGATGGAATAACTGATACTGACAAAATCTTTGCAATAGTAAAAGATCACTGTCAGTGGATATATCCCATTGTATCATATATATTAGCACAAGCCAAATGTAGCACTAGAAATGTATTTGGCACAGAAAAAGGTGTTAGCTGATTTTCCTTTCTTTTAATTGTTGCCTATGTATATATGAAATGGAAAATACACAATACTGGGTTCTTTTAGTCAATTCTCGTGGCTGAAGTTGGAATCAAGACCATCATATTCATCTATGAATAATGGGGAAAAATTGAACTAATTGTAAGGTGTTCCCATCTCCAGGCAAAGGAAACCCTATTTTTCTCGATAAGGATATACATGTCTCCCATTAATGACTGTGATCATGAACACTTATACATGGTGTTTATATCTGCAACATTAACATACATGGATATGAGGCTGTGTGTTTATAAAACATACTAATTTAACTGCTACAAAAAGCAAAGCTTAATGGATTGAGGACAGAAATAATTGCACTAGTAAATCTTATTTTAGAATTAGAATTACGCATACATTTGCAACATTGGGACTAGGAAGATTGTATGCTTAGGTAATATTATATATGACACCAGAGACATAAAGAAGCTATGTAAAAGTGCGTGCTTATGAGCTAGGTAGGAAATAGATCATGCTGGAAACCAGAATTTCCTCAGTTAGAGAGGTCTAAAAAACTACATGCAAGTATGACATACAATCAGGTACTAATTTTATGAAAAAGACTTTTATTATCAAGGAGCTAGCCAGATAATGTTAGGAATCTGTAACACCATTCCAACTGAGTGTTCATCAAGTGCCTACAAATTACTTCAACTTACCTTAATTGTGTATAACTTATCTGATAGTAGATGTGCAAGTAAAGTAGCATCTGCTGAAGAATGTGGCTTTAATTACATCATACCCATAGAAGCAAAGCTCACCTTACAGGAACCATTGCAGTTTTATGCTATGTTAGGCTCAATGCTTTTAGGAATTGTCAAGCAATTTTCAACAATTTTCAAATAACTACCAGAAATGCTAGAGTACCTGTAGTCTGACATGTACAGAAGCCACAAAGAGAGAAGTTTCTGTAGACTGAACAAATCACCAAGTAAACCGCATTACTACCACAGTCCAAAATGCAGTGAAAGTGTCTGTCAGAGCAATATTCCTCATCTAGAAGAGTTTGGAACTTGGCTTTACATCCTAGAGACACCACATTAGTCATTATATTGATTTTTCTTAGCTGTAAAAATCAAATGTTAAATATGTTACGGTTATACATAACAATGAAGAACTACAGATTGCTCTCAGACCCGTACAAGTTATCATGAGGTCAGACCAGACAGAAAAAAGCCACTATCCCTGAGATCTGCTGCCCTGTCCTGATCAGTAGCCTCGAGACGTAAAAGGGTTGCGTTTTTGACTTGTAAAAACTGTGAAGTGGACTAACAAAAGGAAGGATTGTAGCCCTGTAGCCCCATAAATATAATTTTGCCATTTCTAGCATGCTAATAGAAAAAGACATCATATCAGGCAACTAAATCGAATCTGAAATGAAGAGGTGTTTATGTTACTTAAGTGTCAAATTCTGTAACACTGAATGATGTACATGAAATTCAATTTTTCTCTGGTATAGAGCTATGCTGTTTTCCCATACTGGACCTTCAGTGGTAAGATTTGTAGGGTCATATAAGTGCATAGCACTGATTATTACCTCTTCAGCTGAAGTAAGTAACAACAGCAACTTTTTGCTTACTCTATGGTTTAGTTTCCAGGCAGGTTAAAAAAAATCAACTTATTTTACCTGTGGTTTACATAACTCTTAGACTCTATAAGCTAGTTAAAATTAGTAAGCTGCTCATTTTAATAGCTCTAACAGGCAATGAATCAGTGTGCACAAAGGTACATAGATTTCATACATTCATCCTGAAAAGAAGAGGCTCAAGCCTGAGACTTTAGTCACAAATAGAATCACAACACACTGATTCATCACAATTCGGGTCAACAATTTCCCCTTCATTTTACATCAGATAACCTGTCCACTGTAACACAGTGTAAACCTTCAAAGACCCTGCTCGCTTTCACTTTACAGATGAATTTCACTCTTCTTGCAAATCCACCTGTACAGGAAGAGGAGGTTATCTGCACGCACTCCTGTCACCTTAAAGGCAGCACATTTTTCTCCTTTCCTTCTTCCTTTTATCATAAAACTGCAAGAACCAAACAATACAGATATGAAGATCATATCAGATAGTGAAAACCACAAAGACTGGATTTTTTTTTCTCTTTATGCTGTTACTGTTTTTATTCTCTGACATACAGACAGGTTTTATTCATTTAGCAAGCTTCACCCTTTCTCTATATCCCTATTTGTTATGCAGCTAGAAGGAAAAACTTATACAGCCTGGGCACCTCCTAAAAAAATGAGTTCCTTTTCTGAGAGCTGTCAAAGAATTTCACTTTTCAACTGTGTATTTTGGTCAGAATTCTGTACTTAGAAAAATTAGAATTGGCTGAGCTGCCTAAATGGAGTAAGGTCCCTGATAACTTACTACTGCTTTCTCAAGGTCTAATGGCTGAACAGCCTGGGCACAACTAGTGGAGAATCACAGAATGTCAGGGGTTGGAAGGAATCTTGAAAGATCATCTAGTCCAGCCCCCCTGCCAGAGCAGGATCACCTAGGACACATCACAGAAGCCAACACAGATTCACTCCAGAATGAACCTACCTTCTCCCTGGATGTTTGGGACCAGCGAGCCATACTCATCTGCCTTCCCTCTCATCAAAGCTTAATCCAATCCAATCAAAGACAGTGTCATTATCCTTCAGTTTGCTTAAGAAATCCTAGAGAGGTACGTCTTCAAAATCTTATAATAATAACACTTCATTAAAACTCCAGCACAAGTAATGTATAGTGGTAATTAATGTTCTAAAACCAGCAAGTTTTTCATGCACAAAGATTCCAGACAATATATTTCCAAGAAATTGAGAAGAAAAATTAAAAAAAACACCCCAAAATATCTCAAAAACATCCCAAAAACATCTCAAACCCCAAAACTCAAATCATGAAAATTAGTTCAGATTCTCAACTAGACCCAATACCATGGCTAACAATTCTAAGTGGAACAGCCAAGGAGCTAACTTTTGGCTCCTTGCTGGACTCAGACCCATTCCACCAGCACATTTTAGATGAGAAGCAGGCTGATCTGAATTACAGGAGCCAAAGCTGTCTCCTGGGTACTCTAGAAGTGATTGGCTGAACCTGGCGACCTCTAAACAAAAATGAGAGCACAAAAGAGACATTCTACAGGTTAGGACTGGGCCACAGAACTATTTTTCTTACTGCCACAGGCCTGGCACTGACATTAAAAAATGTGCAAAGTACAGAGAAACAGCTCCATCCTCCAAAGAAAAGCAACAGCCTTTATGACAGCTTTAGTTCTGAACAGGTTTGATATGGAATAAAACATGTAAGAATCCTTCAGATACCAGCTGCTTCTTGCAGGAGATAATCTCTAGGCATACCATTGCATCTATTTAAATGAAGCGTAGGTTGTTCTGTGTTTGACAGAAATGTTTCTTAACATGCAGAAGCCCAATCATCAGAGCTCTTTCCATTGACAATGACTTTTATGAGTGTATCTGGATTAGAAATGGCTTCTAAAAAGTGTATGAACAGCTGTACTTTGATGTGTGAATTCACAAGGGGTACGTAAAAAGAATATTTAAACCACAGAGTGCCTTACAAGCTTACCAGTTCCATTTCATCCTCTATAACCAGAAGCTCAGTTTTTTTTCTTGAGCAATACTTTCTACTATTCTCCCAGGTGTCATGAGTTTCTGAGTAGAGATAACACCTCCTGTAATGCAGCTTCAAGCCCACGGGGCAGAGATCACATCTAGAGTCTGAGAGAGTAAACGATTTAAACCAAGGGCAGACCTAATTTTAAGAAAGCACATTGTCCGTGCTTTGGGGCGGTAATCAGGGTAGTAATTATTTCATTGGAGATCATTCTGTGGCCTTAAATAAGTCTAGAAGACTGTACTAAGTATTTTACATAATAAATGGGGTGAAAACCCTAGATAAAATCCCAGCTCTTCTGAAATCACTGGGAGTAATATAATTCAATGACATCCATGGCAAAATTACAAAGACCTTCAGTAATACCACTCCACTTCTATTTTTTTTGCTTAGACTAAAGCTTTCAGGGATGGAACTCTAAAATAGATTGCTTTATATATCTTCATCAATATAAACATGCGTATTTTGGTACCTAAAGGTCAATTCTTTTGTGCAGGTGTTTACTTTTATATTAACCCTTTCAAGAGCTTCAAACTATTCATGCTACTGTGAGTGAGACTTTATTTCCTTACCATTTTCATGTACGCATAAGTTTTCCTTTAATGTAGCCTATAAGCTGTTTTCATCAATATCTTCCTTAAAGATACTGTCATTTTCACAAAGATTTTCTCTGGGCTTCCGGACATCACTTGATAGCAAGTCACCTGGACAAGAATCTCTGACATTTAATGTAAATCTCACAAGTGAACTGTATAAAAACCCCATAGTATTTTTCAGTGGATAATAACAGGAGCTTCAAGTGGAAACTCATGTTGCTTGTTTGTCTTTCCAGCTCTCCTGTGAATGGTAGGTGGAGAGTTGAGCATCCAATCCATATACATAAATATATGAGGTGACCAACTTCACATAGACAGTGTGGAGTTCATTATCATCATGCTTTTGACAACATGGTATGCAACAGTTGTCTTTCAAATAGCATGTTTGTGCCTTTGATTTTCTAGTTTCTGAGATTTATATTGAGCTTATTTCAGAAAGGAATGGGTTGATATGAGAGGACGGGATTGGCATTCAGAGAAAAGGAGAACAGCTGACTCTGCAGGATACTCAAGCCCAGAAGTGCTTCTGAATTCTCATTTTCTCCTGTGTTCTCAAGTGATTTTGATGTACAAAGTGATTCTGATGTCCAGAAGCAGGCTGAACATTGGGACTACCAAACCGAGATTTTGTAAAGGAGGAAACTAAAATTAGACTCCTTGATCAATATTCAGATGCTTGTTGATGGCAGCCTAAAAATTTGTTCAACTTGCTTGACCAGGGCAACTGCAATCACTTCTCTCCGATCTTCAGGTTTAGATGCTCAGGGATAATTGGCACACGTCTGCGCTGGATAGTTAAGCTCTGTATGCACATGATCAATGTTGGCAATGACCTAGTGCAATGACCTAGTACAATGACAATGCAAAGTTCACTTTTATAAACTCTGAGGCAAACATTTTTATTTCTCTTTAGAGAGGTCTTTTACAACTCTGCCTACCATATTCCAGCCTCCTATCTCACCCATCTCTGAAGTCCAGCTCACATTCCCATTGTACACAACCAGGGAGGACTGGCTGAGACTAAAGGTGAGCAAAGCAGAGCATCAGGAGTTGAAAGCTAGGTGACACCTAGAATGAGTTCTGTTTCATTACTAAAAGAAGTTTTCCAAACTGATGGTTAGCTGGCTGGCTGGCTGGCTAAATGGATGGATGGATGGATGGATGGGTGGATTGACGGGTGGATTTTTGGCTAGAAACCTTGGTGGTTTGTTCAGTTTTGAAAAGGAGTCAGAAGGACTCCTAGATTGGGAAACTTGAAATTGAGAAAGACTCCAGCCCTCTTCATACACCGCGAACATGCAACAGTCCTCTGAAAGCCACTGATGTTCTTCAGAGCTGCATCCCCAAAATACTGCTGATTCCCTCCTCACCTTCATCAGAAACACAATAGCAGAAAGCATGAGTGGTCTAGTCACTTTATTAAAACAGTTTGTTTGCAAAATCTGTTTAAGTCAAGGGTTGATACATGCTAATTTCACAGTAATTAAAGCAAAACATTTCACTTGGTTACTCACATTTTTGAGTTAATGTGATCAGAGCTCCCAGAAATACAACATTCAGAAATCCTGAGAGAGCAGCAAGATACCACAGACATGAAGAATTAAACAAAAGTTCTGCAAGAAATAAAAGGGTTTTAGAAACAGCATGAATTGCCACCCAGAACATAAACCTGGGTTTCTCTAGACATCTTTCAGACAGAACATCCATCACTGTCACTTTGCCATGTACTTTGCCACTTCTGATTTCATCCTGTATATCAAGCGGTTCCTGCTTCTAACAGACTTGCACTTATGAAAACTTGGATGCTTGAATTTCCTCATGCCGTCTTCCTGTTTGCCAGTTCATCTGAGGTTTTGAGTGGCTACTGAATAGTTTCTGCTTCTTCAGAGCAGGGGGATGTCACTTGCGGATATCGTGAAGACTGTTAGATGTCACAGCAAGCACTTAAACAATGCTCAAGAAAACCTCAAATTTAGTGAAAAATAAAGAACTAAAGTTTCTAACAGATGCAGAGAAAGATATGTGTATAACATGTAAGAACAAAAATTAAGTTCTAGGGCTGTAAATACCAACATTATCAATCAAGAAAGGACCAGGAGATCCTCTGAAAATTAAATGCTGTAGCTCCAGGACCCACAAATTAATCTATCATCTGCACACTGGATGCCAAGTCAAAGGCCTTTAGAAAAGTCCAATTATAGTTCAGAAATCTTTTTATTTTATTGAGTCTTTGATGTTCAGCCAATCCCACCTGGAAAATTACTACAAAATGTTTGAAAAATTAAGTAGCAATGCATTGAACAGGACCTCTTTGCAGACTGGATGCTTGATTAAGGTCAATGTGCAAAAATGAGCTCCCTTGCAACTCAGAAGAAAATTGCTTTTAATTAGAATCAGAAAAACCTGGAAACATACAGTCATGGTGAATTTTACTCCTTGATATTGCCAAAAAAGTCTTAAAATCTATCTTGTAAGGCTATCATACTACTGCCATACTACTTCCTAGTGAAATCCCCGCTTCTCTTTTCTCACTCAACTTCTACATATCTCAACACAGAATGTCCGAACAATGTAGGCTGGAAGGAGGCCATCTAGTCCAGACTCCTGCTTAAGGCCAGTCAGGTTACAGTAGGTTTCTCAAGGCCATTTTCTAAATATTTCTAAGGGTTAGCATTCCACAGACTTTTCAGGCTCCTGTCCTAGTGTTTGACAACTACCACAATACGAAAAATTTCCTTGTATCAAATTGCAATTTTCCATGTTCCAGATTGTGTCTTTCAACGTGCACCTTCAAAAAGAATCTGGTTCTGTCTTCTCTACACCCTCTCATTTGGTAATTACAGGAAAAGGTAAGGCTCCCCTCAGCTTTTTCTTCTTAGGGCTGCCCAAAGCCAACTGTTTCGGCCTCTCCTCCTGTGTCACCTCTCCAGCTCATTGACTGTCCCAGAAGCCCTCCACTGGACTGTTCCAGGAGGTTGCCAGCGTGGTCATGGAAGGAATAGTGATACAGCTAATACACAGCAAAGCTCTTTAAAATAACTGAGGCATAAAAGATATTCTTTGACATCTCAAAGTATTCTACGGAGCAGGGAAGTCAACAGGTAGAAATTGCCCAGCTATGCAGGAAATGTCATGTTAATTTTTTCTTCCTATTTTCTAACATCAGTAAAATCAGAAAATACTTTATGAATGTTCTTCTAGAAAGATCAGGGCATAATACACTGTTCCTTTTATCCAAATTTAAATTTAGGGGGACAAAAGGTTTTAAATGCCATCCTTCCATGAGATGGGACCCAGGAAAAAAAAGTCAGAGAGTAACAGAAGAATGATTTTCCATTTCATGGAAATGTCTGTCCTTGGAAGAGAAAACAGGGTTTCAAAATGTCATACATTGTAGAGAACACATTCTCCAACTAGTAAATAAGATCAGGAAGTTCCACATGAAAGTATGCTTTAAAAGCCATTATATTTCAAATGCCAGTGGTCCAGATCAGATGTGAATCAGCTGTTTGAAAAGTTCTCTGCTTCTAGACTGTTTTAAAAAATGTAATGCCTGGAGCTCTATTTAAATGAATTGAACTTCGTGCTACGCTGATAAATCTCGTTTTCACTAACACTTCTATTTCATATCTTGTTTCTAGATATCATCATTTTGCATGGAGTTCAAACATCTTTCTTCCTCATTTGCCTATTCAGACATAGCCACTTGGGAAATGTTGTATCTGTGATTAGTCATCTTTAAATATCCAAACAGCTAATCCCCACTCTTTTTATATTGCCACCCTATACAGATGGCAAATACTTGTAAGCAGAATGCAGTACTTTTCAATAGTTACGCAACATATTATGGTTAAGCATCTGTGTGTATTTTCCTTCTTCCTTTGCATGCTATGCAGTTTTTTGACATAGAAAAAAAAAGAAGGCAATTAGGATATCTGACTTCTAAGCTAGACTATGCCATGATTTGTACAGTGGCTTAACTGCAGGCAAAATCGTAACAGCCCAAATACACAGATTAGTGCTCAGCTACTCAGGGTGAGCTCTGGCAGCAGCAATACTGCAACACTGACAGCTCAGTGTGGGCTTTAACACCTCAGCACTCACCCAGCTTCACAAGACAGCTCTGCGGCTTGCACCGTGGGCACGGCTGAACGGGCCTGCAAGGGGAAAAGCAAGCTCTGCACCGTGGCCTTCCTTCCGTACCACCCAGGCTGGCACAGATATTGCTCAACATGAGGAAAAACTTCTTTACTGTGAGGTAGTGACAGAGCACTGACACAGGCTTCCCAGGGAGGTTGTGGAGTCTGCTTCTCTGGAGACTTTCAAAACCCACCTGGACATGTTCCTGTGTGACCTACTGTAGGTGATCCTGCTCTGGCAGGGGGGCTGGACTAGATGATCTCTAGAGGTCCCTTCCAACCCCTGACATTCTATGATTCTATGATTATGCCGGTGAGGCATTGCCACCATTTCTAACCGCTCCAGGGAGTAGACTTCTGTATTCCGTACATACATCATGCTACCACGAATAGTCTGTGTCGGCTCTAAAGCCAGCTCACACACTTGAGCAGAGACTCCGCTCACGACGTATGGTTTAACAAGTCAAGGCAAAGCGCTGTTCTCTTCAGTTGCTTACATGAAGTCTTTCTACTGGCCTGTCATGCCATGCTACCCCATCATGCAGGTAAGTGATGAAGACAGCGTATTTCACACCCAGCTTTGTCACCGTGTGTGTGTTTGTGGTTACATGCTACTATGTGTCTGTGGCCACATAAGATTTTTCTGACTTCCTGCATCTTCTAAATGGAAATATTTGATCTACTCCATTACAGCAACACCTATGTGCACTTTAACAAATATTTTAAAGACCAGTAAGACATTTTAGTTAAGTAAATGTTAGCTTTTATGATCAGCTTTCTGATTTTTTTTCTCAGTTTTGCTGGTTTTGCGCTTTTACTGCAGTTGAGAACAGGTTCTCAGGTAAGTTGTTGTAATAAATAGACAAACTGACACAATTCACATTGATAAAATTGCACACGATTTATCCCGCCATACTGAGTAATTCAGGGTGGCTCTTGGGTTTTTTTCTATTAAAAATTGTTCTTACATAAATGTGCAGCCTGGAAAGCTCAGGAACTGATCATCACAGCTAATTGTCTGTTTGGAAACGGGATGTCTAAATGCTCTGAGGACTTAGTATTTACAATTCGAGAAGCTCTTCCCTGAGACACTTAAAAGAAATCAAGTTTAGCAAGGATGAGCTGGAAAGCCTCCCAGCGTGTATCTTTGTGCTTTCTCCCTTACTGCTCCTGTCACCCCAGAAGCTGTTGAAAAAGCTTAGCGGACAATAAGTTACTGACCTAAAGTATTTTTTTTCATTCTTAAATTCTCCCGATTCCTGAAAAGAAAAGAAAACAAAGCAAAACAAACAAATAAACAAACAAACAAAAAACTCAGCAGAAAATTTAAACAGCTAATGAGCTGAGACCATTGCCAAACTTAGAATCATGGAATAATAAACGTTGGAAAGGACCTTAAGATCATCAAGTCTAACCCACAGTCCTACACCACCCTAACACTAAATCATCTCCTGAAGTGCCACATCCAGCCTTTTTTTAAACATGTCCAGGGATGGTGACTCCACCACCTCCCTCGGCAACACATTCCAGTGCTTCACCACTCTTGCCGTGAAGAAGTTTTTCCTAATATAATATATATAGAATCATAGAATCATTATATATATATATATATACACTTGCTGCCTAATATATTTTTGCTGCTAGCTACTGCTTCATGTTTTCCTCATACGCCTCTGTCTCCCAGTCTCCATTTTGTACTGGTACTGTCAGCACCAGTACCCTCAGCCAGTGGTACTATTAGTACTTCATCATACTTCTGTCCATCATACTTCTCTGCATATTGCCATGTATCATTGTCAACTTCAGTAACACCAACTAAAATTTCGTCAGATTTGATAACTCAGACATAGCAGACTCTGGCTGGAGAGATTTGATACTTACACAACAAGTCCAAAGGCACAACATAAATGCTTTATATGCTCACCTGCATTACACCTTTTCTTTCTTGATTTGAAGTTAAGCTCTGTGTAACCCTCTTCATTCTCCATATCAAGGTCTTTTTATCACTTCTTTCTACTGAACACTGACTGTTAGTGTCAAACCAGGTTCTGGGAAATGCTTCAAGTGTGATAAGCAGGAAGGGGACAGTGGATGTCCGTTTTTGTTTTTAGCTGAAGCCATGCAGCAGCAGGACTATGAAAAAGGACCTTAACGTTATAAACCACACAGACAAGTGAATGCTTTTTCTCTTCTTTTCCATTTCCACTGTCTTTCTCTGACAAAATTCAGGCCCTCCTAATAAATACTTCTAACACTGCATTTTCTCCAAGGCAATATCGCAGTCTTTCAATGCACAAACACTCTTGCACGTGAGAGAATAGATTTGAGCCTCTCAAGCCGATTTCACTGGATTGATGGATTCTACTCATCTACTTTATATTAAAATCAGCTGTGTCAACTTCTCTGTTTATCTCAAATACTGAGATTTGATCTTGCTTTACCTAAGATTGTGTGCATATGTCTCATTAAGCAGATGGAAGGGCATTTAAACACACGTATTGATCGTTGGTTCTGCTTTGTGCCTGTCCACTTGAGCAACTGTTCATAGATCTGAGCAACTTAATGCCTTTCTTTAAATGGAGACTGGAGCAGATCTCTTCAAACATCATGGGTGGCAATGCAAGTTCTTGGTGCTCTTTTAAGTGCTAGATTTCCTTCTGGAAATGAGAATTCAGTAGACTGCCGAAAGGTTTTCTTTTTTTCGCTGAAATGGCTATAACAATTTCTGGCTGTTGTCAAACTCACCACTTTTCATCAAGGTTCCCTTTGGGTCAGGACTACATCCTGGTTTCATCTTTATTGTGTCTGTATAGTGTGTAGTGGTGATACATCATGGGAGACATAGGCTGTCACATCATTAGCTATAGTATGCAATTAAATAGCATCCTGAACACTTATGTCAGTTTGAAAGAATATAAGTGCATCCAGAGCACTAGACAGAAATTATTCACTGATTTCTTAAACAAAACCTCTCTGATGATTAGTAATGGTCATTCAGGCTTGGGAACCAAGATAACTTTACCTCAGCTTTTGTATCATGGTTAGCACCTGAAAGCTGGGGTCAAGCTGTATGCAGTAGAACCATGTACTGCAAAAAATAAAAGTGATCTCCAGAGCAGTCTTTCAAACACAGACATACTACCTGAGGCTGATGGATCAAAATGAAATAAAAGCTGCTAAGCAACCAACATACATGTTCAGTTTCTACAGGTTAGTAGTACTTACCATGCAGCACCACAATGCTAAATAACTCTCCTGCACCCAGCGCAGACAATGATAAAAGACACAACAACTCCAAACAAACCTTGCTTCACTTACACAGGTTGTTCTGCATCCATCCCCACAGCCGATCTGTGGGGCTTACAGGACCCACGCTGGAGCAGGAGGTTTATCCTGAAGGATCCTGCAGCCCCTGGAGGACCAAGGCTGGAGCAGGGAAACAGTGTGAAGGGGAATCATAGAATCATAGAGTGTTCGGGGTTGGAAGGGACCTCTAGAGATCATCTAGTCCAGCCCCGCTGCCAGAGTAGGATCCCCTAGGGCAGGCCCTAGGGAAGGAGCAGCAAAGAGGAGCTGTTATGGACTGACTCCATAAACCTCGTCCCTCTGTGCCACTCCGGGTGGTGGATGGTGAGGGTAGTCAAGTCAGGAACAAAGCAATGAAGCTGAGCCTGGAAAGAGGGAGCAAGGGGGAAGTGTTGCTTTAAACTTTCTGTCTTCATTTCTCACTATCCAAATCCATTTTAATTTGCAATAAATAATCAACTTTCCCCAAGTTGTGTCAGTTTTGCCCATAATTATAACTGGTAAGTGATCTCTCTCCCTTTTTTGTGACTCACAAGCTTTTCATCTTACTATCTCCCCTGTCATGTTGAGGAGCAAGAATGAGAGACCGGATGGGTGGGCATCTGGCAGCTAGCCAAGGTCAGCTCACCACAATGACCTTACCAGTCTATATTATTTTTCTTTTTCCTTTTTTTTCTTGTATATTTGCTAAGCTGTGTAACGCTCTAGTAAATCAAAGGCAGTGGATCCTGAGGTTGTCTCAGGAAGCTCTTAAAAAGATTAGCAAGAGACCACCCATGAGAATAATGACAGACATTGATTCTTAGGTGGGTCATCCTCCTCCACTGGAACAAACCAGTTTTTAAAAGTCAGGCATTTGGTAAATAAACTGTTTGAATATAGTCTTTTGTTTCACTTGTACTACTTGTACTACTACTTTCCCTTTTCCACCCTCTAAGTAGTTTTAAAAACTTTGGAGTAAAAGTGAAAATATATAAAATATTTTATGTAGCTTATACAAAAAAAAAAATTATATATATAAACTATATGAAAATAAATATACAGGGAAGAGCATGGAGGTCGTGAGAAGGGTAAACCAATAATGCTGTACATGATGGGCAGTGTTCTCATAACGATATCTACTTTGGAAAAGTACCAGAGGAAAGTCAAGGAGTAAGATATTCCCAAGCAGCATCTCCCAACTGTGGCAGAGGCTGATGGGGAAAAAAAATAAATAAAAGCCATTTATTAAATAAGTTAGTAAGTTAAGTTAAACTCAAGGTTGCTCACAGGTTGGCAGTAGAACCTGATACCAGTGTTGCAGGGGTGAAGGTAAGAGACAACCTTGAAAATGCATATCACTGTCTCCACAGAAAGATGAAGCATGAAACTTGGCCCCAAACACCAAGCCAGGGGAGCAATTCAGGAAAATGTAGGAATGCTTATGTTTAAACATGAGTGTTCACATCAAATTTTTTGAGTATATGTGTACTTACAGCTGATGTGCATATTATTTCACAAGATCACAAACCTAGTTACTCCTATTTTTGCATGCTCAGGGAACTGGCTACATCTTCCACCCTGCTGGGATCAAGTAGATATTCTTTGACATCTGACTGAGAAGCATGGGAAACTAATGACTTCTTAATTTGTACCAATGAAATTTCAGCTGTGATGACAAAAAATATTTTTTTTCATCAGAATTTTTCTTCCTAATTAGAAGATTGTGAGCTGATTGAGGTCTACCACTGCAGTTCTTAGAGACCAGAACAGCATTGACTCAAACTCAGTGTTGCCACAATATCTAAAAGAAATAAGAATTAAATAAATAAACATATTGCATAGTATACTAAGAAAAAAATATATCCTGTTGCATTGTAGATAGGCTTAAGATTATTAGCTTTAAGATTCTCAGCTTTAAGATTCTCAGCTATATGTTACTATTTGTTTAGCTTTTTGTATTACCAGACAATAAATACTAATGAGGTTATATACCTCGTTATTATTTCATTCCTCATTATTATGGATGGGTGGATGTCGCATTGGGAGGCATCATTTAGCCGGCTGATAGGGCTGGGACAAAGGCCGGACTTGATGATCTTCAAGGTCTCTTCCAGCTGAAACTATTCTATGATTCTGTGATTCTATGATTATTTAATGCCTCATTTAATACCACCATCACAAACACAAGTGAGTTCCCCAGCATGTTACACGTGTTACTGTAGTTAACCTGTAGAATAAAGCTTCATGTAGGAACTCATAAATTCTCTGCTAAGATATACAAATGTTTTCCATTATAAATGTAAGTTGCGTGTTTGTTTATGGGTTTGCAACGTTTGCATTCAGTCTTTGAAATTCAGCAATTATATTAAGAAATACCTGAGGGTGGATAAGAAATGCTTCTAGATCTGACCAATTTGACTTAAAGAAAATGAAAAGGACACTTAAAATAAGAATTTATTTTCTGGCTTCACAGCACCCGTGGCAGCATGTGTGAGTTGTCATTTCTCTGGGAATATATTGCCTACACTGAATTTGTGACTCACTCAATTGCTCTTGATGAAATAAAATTTGCTTCAGGCCTCCTGTGTAACATAGCCATTCTCAGTATTGCTGTTCTGAGGCTATCATCCTACACTGCAGAATTCTTTTAAGAGTAAAGTGTTTCCTCTAGTTTTGAAACCGCAAACACAATGTGCGAATGCACTCCTCCTGTGCTTACAGAGGTCTGAAGCATCAGCTCAGTGATGGAACTTGTCTTCAGGGTCAATGGATCCATATCCAAGTGGAAGCCAGTGACAAGTGGAGTCCCTCAAGGATCAGTACTGGGACCAGTCTTGTTTAACATCTTCATCAGCGACATGGACTGAGGCATTGAGTGCACTCTCAACAAGTTTGCTGACGACATCAAGCTGTGTGGGGCGGCTAATATTCTGGAGGGTAGAGATGCCATTGAGAGGGACCTCGACAGGCTGGAGAGGTGGGCCCAGGCCAGCCTCATGAAGTTCAACAAGACCAAGTGCAAGGTCCTCCATCTGGGTCGGGGCAACCCCAAGCACCGATATAGGCTGAGCAGCGATTGGCTTGAGAGCAGCCCTGAAGAGTACTTGTGAGTACTGGTAGATGAGAAGCTCAACATGAGCCATCAATGCACACTTGCAGCCCAGAAAGCCAATCATGTCCTAGGCAGCATCAAGAGGTGTGTGGCCAGCAGGTCGAGGGAGGTGATTCTTCCCCTCTACTCCACTCTTGTGAGATCCCATCTGGAGTACTGCATCCAGTTCTGGAGCCGACAGCATAAGAAAGATATGGACATGCTGGAATGTGTCCAGAGAAGGGCCATGAGGATGATCAGAGGGCTGGAGCACCTCTCCTATGAGGACAGAGAGAATTGGGGCTGTTCAGTCTGTAGAAAAGAAGGCTCCGAGAAGACCTTATTGTGGCCTTCCAGTATCTCAAGGGGGCCTGCAAGAAAGCTGCTGAGGGGCTTCTTAGGATGTTCGGTAGTGATGGGACTAGAGGCAATAGATTAAACCTAGAGATGGATCGGTGCAGATTGGACGTTAGGAAGAAGTTCTTCATTATGAGGGTGGTGAGACACTGGCACAGGTTGCCCAGAGAGGGGGTGGAAGCCCCATCCCTGGCAGTTTTTAAGGCCCGGCTGGATGGGGCTCTGGGCAACCTGATCTAGTGGGGGATGTCC